ATAAACAATTACCTTTTCCAAATTTGGACATAGCGAAGAAATGATTTCGAAAGCTTGCTCATCCAGGAGATGCACCACACCGGATATATCCAGACATTTCAAATGCATACCACAACGAGTCAAAAATGCCTGTAAAGTACTATCTTTTTGATGCAATTTTCAACCTAACAAAAACAGCGAGAACTTCATATTCCGGCAACCGAGTTCAAGGAGAAAAAATCGCTATTCCAAGGAAATTAAGATTCACGAGAAAATCACGATTCGATATTTCAGCAGTCATGATTCTTGAAAAAATCTAATGCAATCTTGAAAAAGGCTTGATGTTATACCTTAAGATGGCTATTTCGAAGGGGATTCGATTGTGAAAAAGTACGGCCGAAACTGCTGTCGCTTGAAAATAACAGCGTATCATTCATTGCCCAAGCCTAAAAAAACAACGATTTAATTATTATTATTTTAATTATTATTATTATGTTTTAATTATTATACTACGAGCTGCCGATAGTCCAATTTCTTCGGAAGAACAACCAATCAAACAACGATTTAGGAATTTAAAAATTGCAAAAATTCAGTGAAACATTATCTGCGTGTAGGCGTGCCGCATACCGGCAACCGTAATGGAGCTATAAGCTCTGGTCATTTGACCCTAAGTTAAGCCGCTGTGAATGATATATCCATTAAAAAAAATATTAAATTTTAGTTATTATATTATGAGCCGCCGATGGTCCAACTTCTTCGGCAGGACAATCAAGTTCTCTACGATTCGTTCATTCGTTTCAATAGCAAATTAACACTGAGCCAAAATAATGACCGCTTACTTGCAAAATATCCTCGGAACAAAAAAAAAATCAATTTTACAGTCCATTACTGCTTTTAGCAATACGTTACACTTGGACTACTTCTACCTCTTCCGGAGAGCGATAATAAAAGAGAGCGAGAGATCTTCGGGAGGCTTTGATTTTCATAAATACATTAAATGCTAATAAAGCGAAGAAAGAATTGACCTCAACGGATGATTCGAGGAAGCTCTTGTTCACGCGTTCAAATCGGATTCTATCAATCGGTGAAACATACGATAAAATTATGGTGAGTATTTTTGTCGGTAATGCTGACAGTGATAATCGCTCTCCGAACTGAAGTCATCATTATAAACGCTATCATATTAAAATAATTCTGACACCAAGAATACCAGGAAGGAGGTGTTA